AGTTTCATTAGAGCTGTAATTGTCCCAAGGGGTCAATTAAAAATAAAATGGGAAATTATTACATTGTATTGCTTTTCTTATTTGTCTAGAATGGATAGAACTTTATTAATCCTTTGGGAGTTTCCTCTGGGAAATTTAGGATGAAGATAATACTAATCTAAAGTCCATCATCTATCTTATTTGTCTAAACATTGTTTATTTTTTTAAATTTTTTTTAGCGACATTTAGACCAAAACTTGCACCACAAAAATAGGAGGTTGTCATTTGGCCTGTTGTGGAGGTCGTCCATCTCTTAGGTCCAGCAAAAGCCCTCGTCGTGCGTTGGTCAAGGGCCACTTTCATGGCCATTTTCCCCTGACCGTCTGCTGACCTTTCTCTAATTCCTAACCCTGAAAGCAGCAGGCTTCATCTGAGACCACCTTCACAGCCTCCCTGCCCCCCAATTTGTGTCTCACCCCATGTCGATGGGTTCGTAGTCAACAGTACTGCTGATCTAATTGAACAAAGGTTAAAAAAAAGATGACAAATTGGTGAAAGTATTCTAGTCCGACAAGGTGTATTCCACGTCCTCAGAAGGCCCCTGGTCCCCACTTTGGAAACCACTGCGTTAACCATTTAATTTATCTATGCACTGTTAGTCATCCGTTTGTTTTTGGTGGTTCCATCCATGACATCTGTTGCACATGTTCTTCTTCGTCTTCTCCGTCTGTTTGTCGCTGCACTCATCGCCATATCAACAAGTGAGCTTGACCGCGGCGGTTAATGGGTTAAAGGGCTGAGACTTAACCATGTTAGGACCACATCAGTCCACCCAGATGGAGACCCTGCTTCCTCCAGGTCAGGGAGGGGTGGGCGTTGAACACCATCAGGTCTCCTGGTCTGGTCTCCACGTGAATCCAGAAGCGCCGCGGCAGCACCGCACGCCGTGCAGGACAGGAAGTCGACTAATGTCCAAAAGTGGTCATTAGGCAGTGACCGACCAACACAAAGTGATTTTTGATGCCCACTTATGGCTGCTGATGATGTTTAATTTGATTACAATCGATTATTTTTTTGATGAAAACCACATGTGGTTTGGTTAAAAAAAAGAAGACAAAAGCATAATTGTTATTGGCAATGAATATTTGATTATCTGTTTGATGAGAAGCGTTCGTCACAGGCATACGATGGACGACCGTGTGTGTGTGTGGTTTTTCAGACAGTTACTCACTCGGTGCAGAGGCTGATATCGATCACGTCTGTTTGAACTACAGTGGAGGAAATAGTGTAGGAGTTTTCCCACGGGTCACGGAAGTCGGGTTTTACTGGATTTGTCTCTCTTTGAACCGTGGTTTCCTCTCGGCTGAAGAACCAACGTCTGAGCTGTGTTTTATTTTGTAGAAATTGTGTGTTTGTGCATTTCCTTAAGTTTTATTTAAGGTGTAGATGTCACTGTCAAATCGTAACATAGGACCAAATTTGTGGCTACCATTTTTATTAAATTTTTATTTATTGTATTTGGCCATTTTTATGTTGTATTAATCTTTTAGTTACTTGAAATAAATCAATTTTTTTCTATAATTTTAAAGCCATTTTCACAGACATTGTTTAATCTTTGATTATTTTTTTTACCTTTTTTTTTAAGCTATAGCTGAAGCTATTTCCCAGTAAACTAATT